GGGAGGGACTGGGGAGATGTACTGCAACAGTGTGCTGTTGCTTCAAAGAAGAGGGACCTTCTTTGGCCAGGGACATACACTGCTTGTGCTGGAGGACTGGGGATGGGCAGGTGGAAACCTGCACATAAAGGAAGCATGGAAGATGATGCTCTGTGTGTTAGGAGTTAGGAAGATTACTGGGGAGTGCTGGCATCACAAAAGGACTTGTGGTGGGAGATGTGTCAGTCTCAGAGGAGTTTTGGGGGTTATGAAGGGATCAGCCTATGCTGAAAGGTGGTCTTGTTGCTCAGAAGGATTCTAAGAAGGAAATTTTCTGCGGTGGAAAGACCACCTCTAGGTATTCTGATAAAGGCCAAAGGGATCCATGTGGAAGGACTGGGTAGACATATCCTGTTGTGCTAAGGAAGCCTGGCATTACTGGGTGTTTCATGAAATGCAGTTTCTTTGTGGCAAGGCATCCCTGTTTCTTCAGTGTCATTCTCCTCTGATTGCATTTGATTTTGCAAGCTGACAGCTTCCCCCTGACTTTTCCTACCTGCAGACCCAACAGCTCCCAATGTGGTGGTCACCCGACTCACTCTGGTATGTGACTCCGCTCCAGGACCGATCACTATGGACCTTACAGGTAGGCACAGGCTCTGCCCTTGGTCACAGAGGGGAACAAGCAAAAGCCCTGGCATGCTCCAAGTTAAAAGAGAGTTTGTCCTTGGGATGCTACAGTGGGTTTTAGAGGAATTCTGAAGTCATCTTAGCCTTGTTTCTTATTTTAAGGTATACACATATGAATAAAAAAGAAGGAGATATAACAGAGGAAAATACTGAGAGTTTTTCCTTCATCTAGGCTGCTCTAGGAGCTCCTGGGTTTCTCTTAACTATCTCTGCTTGCTTCCTTTCAGTGACACTTCATGAGCATGCATTTGGGTAACAGGCTGTATTGAAACTTCAGAATCGAGCAATACTGCAGTTCCGGCTCCTGGGGGCATGGGGAGAGAACCTTATATGGGCTTTTCTGCAGAGAGAGGAAGCTGGGCCTAGAGAGGCAGAGAGGCTTCCTGTTTGCCCAAAACCACGCAGAGCCCTGCAGGGCCCAGGCAGCCTTCCAGGATGGGCAGGAGCTGTGGAACACGCTCCTCTCACCCAAGCTGGGCTTGGGCATGGATGGAGCTTACACACACTCCTGTGAATGCTCAGCAACAAGTCTGTGCATAAACATCTTTGTGTATATGTACTCAGACCTGTGGTTGTTGAGGCATTATCCTCTGTGGGCACAGATACATACGAACACCCAGGAATTTCTGTGTATTTGGTCACACAACGCGATCTTACACAGATGCCTGTGTACTCATTTTACAGGTGTCATCCTTTGAAGGGATGCTCATCTCTGACAGCAGCCCCACCCCCATCTTCCCCTCTGTGCCTGGTCTCTCCTGGCTGTGACATCTCTAGCTGACAGCTTGATTCTCTTCTTGCAGGTGACCTCGAAGCACTCAAGAAAGAGACCTTCGTATTAAAGGAAGGGGTGGAATACAGAGTTAAGATCCACTTCAGAGTGAGTTGTTTTTCTTCCAGTCGCTTCTTATCAGTTGCTAAGGCCAGTCAGTGGCAGTCTATCAGATAACTAGAGCCAGGCAGAATGCCTTCCCAAAAGCTGGATGCTTGCAAAGCTCCCCTACCTTCAGGTGTTGTTCTACCCAACAAGGGATGAAGTATCTCCAGGAAATCATTTCTGCTTGTTCACCCCTTGGAGGAAGTTGGTTTCTGTTTGCTCACACTGATAAACAACAAGTGGTTTAACAGCCAGATGGGTAGTTTTGGCTGAGTTTGGTTTTGCTTTTTAGCCACTGAAAAATCTTTACTTCACACTAAGTGGAAATGAACAGGGAGGAGAAAAGAGAAGAGAAGAGAAGAGAAGAGAAGAGAAGAGAAGAGAAGAGAAGAGAAGAGAAGAGAAGAGAAGAGAAGAGAAGAGAAGAGAAGAGAAGAGAAGAGAAGAGAAGAGAAGAGAAGAGAAGAGAAGAGAAGAGAAGAGAAGAGAAGAGAAGAGAAGAGAAGAGAAGAGAAGAGAAGAGAAGAAGAGCTGTTTATGAAGTACTGATTCAGCCAGTAATACTGGGCTTCCTGTACACATTAAAAAAAATGAAATATTGTAGCATTTGGCTGAAGATACCTGAATTCTTCAGGTCGTGATACACCTAAATGGGCTCATTTCTCCCTCACTCCCATTAATCAGTGTGTCAGCCATTTCTTCTGTTTATGGCTGAAAATGAAACTTGGCCATCCTGCAGTGTGGCATCCAGCACTGAACTGATCATCTCTGCAAGTGCTTGCTTCAGAGCAGGGCTTGGAAGAGAAGGCAAAAAAGGAAGAAAGATAATTCTCCTGAGACAGATGAGAGAAGGTGTTAATACTGTGGGTTCTGTAGGGCGGATTTCCCTTTTTCTCTGAGGCTTGCTATCTCAGAGATGAATGTCCCCAAATGCTCTCCCCTGAGACACCTCCAGCTCTCTTTTGTGCTATGAAATATTTCCAGCTGTATTTGTGCCTTGTTGACCAGAGATACCTGAAGTCAGACAAATTATTCTAATTCCTTCCATCAGTTCCATGGCTGGTAAGGGCTTATACTGTGTGAATTCTACCATGGTATGTAAAAGGATCTGTCCATCTTGTTTTCAGATTGAGTAGTGTACACTGTGGGATGGCAGTGTGTGCTGGACGGGAGCAGCAGTGGATACATCCAAGTTATCCATGGGAGATTTGGGAAAAGATTATGAAAACTCTCCCTCTGTCTTTTGAGAAGAAACTTGCCAGCTCCCCATGGAGCTTAGAGGGCACCTGGAAGCTGCCCACCCATTGAGGCTGAAGGGATGACTCTAGTTACCCATGTATTGTTATCAGTATGAAAATTATTAAACAGGAACTCCCTGCTTCACTTTTCTTTGTTCTCATTAGCATGTCTTGAGAACCTTATTGATGTGCTCCAGTCAGCTTCAAAGTTGGGCAAAGGATGGGGAAGTGCAGGAGATGCACAGAGGATGCTAAAGGTCTCCAGGTACCTATGGAGAAGTTGTTTTAGGGACTTGTACAATGTGCCCTGTGCTGAGGCTCCCTTGGGTAGGGAGCCAAGATGGGTATGTCCCTAAGGAGGGGGAAAATCAACAGATACAGAACCAAAACTCTTCTCTTGACACTTCTGGTTTCTTCCTGCAGGTAAACAGGGACATTGTGTCAGGACTGAAATATGTGCAGCACACCTACCGGACAGGGGTGAAGGGTGAGTAAGAGCCCTGCATGCCGTGCACAACACTGCTCCTACCTGTGTGTTCCCTCTTCTGGAACAAGTGTTCCTGCAGGCCTGGACTGGGACAGAGGCTCCCTTGGTCCCAGGTCCCACCCCGCGCTAACACTCAGGAGATGACTTCTCATCAGAGTGTGTAAGCCTGCTTCACCCAGGACCGTGGTTTCTTGTCTTTTTGTGAGCTCAGTATGAGCCAGCTCTGGAATCTGTATGCTACACCCCTGTCTGCAGCAGCAAAGTCCACAGAGACTCTGCCTGGACAGTGCTTGCCACAGATTGCCTCTCCATACAGAGCTCTTCTCTTCCCTTCCACCTGCTGTGCAGTGGCTCAGCCTGTGTGGAGCTTCCCACCCTCTGAAAGCTCTTCAGAAGTACTTGGTGAAATTCAGACCTGCTCTATGAAACTTCCATTGTGTGCAGGGCCCTGTATTTGCCTGTGGGGTCTCCTCAGTGCTGCTCTTGGACAAGGCAGAGAAAGCCCCATTTTGCACACACACCCCCCACATGCATTTTTGTGCAGCCACCTCTGAGGCTTCAGCATCCTGTTCAGCACACATAACTGGTGTCTTCTCACCAGTATGGAGAAGTAGTGGGAAATCAAAGTAGATCTTGAGCCATATACTGGGTGTACTCATGCCCTTCTAGTAGCCAGAATGTTCCATTTTCTCTCAAATTTGTCTCAAACCAGGACAAGTACATGCATGTGAGAGTGTACAAACTGAGTTGCCTGCCCATCTGTGTTATCCTTCCAGCTGTCCTTACGCTTCACTAATCCACTGATTTTGCTCTCCTTTGCTGACATGGGTTGTTCCTTTTCCCCCCATCTCCTTTCTGCTCTTTTGCTCATGGCTTCCCCTCTTCCTTATCACTCCCCATCTGAGGGGCTTATTCCCTGTGGATTATTTTCTCCTAGTGGACAAAGCCACGTTCATGGTTGGCAGCTATGGGCCACGGCCAGAGGAGTACGAGTTCCTGACGCCTATTGAAGAGGCTCCTAAGGGTATGCTGGCTCGAGGCACCTATCACAACAAATCCTTCTTCACGGATGATGACAAGCATGACCATCTCACCTGGGAGTGGAACCTGTCCATCAAGAAGGAATGGACAGAATGAGTTCACCCAGTTTGCCTTCCCCCTTCCCATCCCCTTGCCTCCTGCACCAGTCTCCAGGCCTTTGCTGCTTCTTCTGATACACTGAAAACAACCCAACAGTTCTCACCACCACCCCATCATGACACCTTAATGGGTTAAATTGGGAAGCATCTCTCTCCCTCTCCCCCAGTACTTCCTCCTGTTGTCCCCAACTCTTCCATACCAACTCCAGTCCTGGAAGTGCCTTTTTGAGGAAACAAGATCACCTGGCAGGGGTGGACTGGTCCTTGGAAAATCCCTATCTTGAATTACACTTGCCATGTGCTCTGACTCATTGTAAAGGGTTACTTACAATGGTCTCCTGGTCTGTATCTGGTGCCCTACCCTGTTAAAATCCATCCTTGTGCAGGCAAAGCCAGTCAGGGGGAATGCAGCTAGATGCCGTAACAAGACTTCAGTGTCTGAGAATAAAACCAGTTTCTTTCTTCTTTTCTGCATGAGTGTCACATTCTTTTCTAGAGCATGTTTCTCAGTGATGTGTGTGTGAGGAATGCAGTATAGGAAGGCTTAAGAGCATATTTCAGCAGGGAAATAGCCCTCCTCCTTCAAAGCAGCAGCCTTACTCTATAAGCAAATTATTTCAGAACAGTTTCCTTCAGGGATTTAATTAATTCTTTGAAGCCCAAAGTCTGGGCTGTGATGGGGGTAGACTCCAGGGGTGGACAGCCCCCACCTCTCATCCCAGATGGCAGCTGAATGAGCCGGGGAGCTATAACATACCCTTCTCATGTTTAGCACTTACCGTAGCAGCTGTTCCCCAGAGCTAATGTAAGAGTTGCATGTCCTTGTGTCCAGCGTGCTGGCCAGGCACAAGGGAACATCAGCCTCTGGGATCCAGCACCTGGAGAGGGATATTCTTAACCTAGCTGGGGTGTCTGGTCACAAAGGTGCAGGGCAGCTGCGAAGTCCAGTGCTGTGGGTGAGGACACACCACGGTGGTTTTGGTGCAGCTCTCCAAGGCTGATTCCTGCACAGCAGGGAGGGGCTTTCTCCAGCCAGGCAGTTATCTCAGGAGCTGAAGGCTTTGCTCTGGGCCAGCTGCTCCCTTCCCACCACCCCAGGAAGGTTGTGGGTCCCCACAGCAGCTGACGTGTCTCTCGCCGAGGAGAGGACCAGAGCAGGGTGGCATGGCGAGGAGAAGGCAAGCTGGTACCATGGGCACATCTGTCTTCCCGTGTCTCTTTGTTATCCTGCTTACCAGATGCTCCCCAGCAGGGTGTGCTGGAGGGAGCGACTCTTCGTCCCACAGTAAGTGAGCTTTTTCCTGCCTTGGGGAAAGTCTGGGAGTCCTCCTTATCCAAGGTATGCTGCACAAATGTGTTGAACTTGCAAGAGAGGTGTGTTGGTGAGCTTGTAAGGTTGGGATGCTTGTGTGTGTGTGTTGGGGGAATCCTCTTTGAGCTGCTCCTTGTGTACACTCTGCCCAACCCTGACCTTTGCTCTGCAGGCACAGCCAGCACCACAGGCAAACCCATCCTGTTAAACAACATCCCAGATGCCGAAGCCTTCATCAGTGGTGCAGAGGTGGCAGTCATTGGATTTTTCCAGGTTTGTTCACAGCACCTCCCCTCTGCCAGTTGTGAGCTCTATCCCACTCTTATAAGAGAGCATGAGGCTGGATGTGGTGTAAACCAAACTAAAGCAGCAGTTGCCCCAAAAGGTGCTGGGGCTGTGACAGGCATGTGGAGGGATTAGGTGATGAGACACAGAGAAAGCACAGGGAATTTGGTCTGTGCATGGAAAAGGAGATGGAGCAAGGGATGAAGATGAAGGAGGTTGTAGGAGCCCTGGAGCAGAAGAGAGGGAAATGCTGCAAGGGAAGAAACAAAGAAATGTGCATGGTAGAGAAACAGTGTTGATGAGGGGTGAATGGGAACGTCAGTGCATGCTGTAGTCAGAAAAGACAGAGTAAGGCACTGCCTGTGTGATAGGGATAAGGAAGCCAAGTCTCAGGGAGAAGTGATAGTGCAGGTCCACTGAAGTCAGAGAGGGTTTGGGCTCAGGCTGCAGACTCTTTGTAGGGAGGATGTAGGCATGGTCTCTGTTTCACTTCTTTGTTTCCCAGAGTAGATACCCTTGAGATCTCTGTCTCTTTTTATCTAAATTCCACTGAATTCAAAAATGAGTGACAGGGTTGAGTCCCTTACCCCCCCCAAATGGCATGAGTATTTTTCCTCAGAAAGTAAAAGGAATATATTTATTGAACTACAGCAGCACTGTAAAACAGAGGCATCTTTAACAGGATCCTTATTACTTTTAAATCCCCAGGTTGCACCTTTTTCCATGTTTTCTTTGAGCTCTGTTCTGGTCTTCTGCTGTCCACACACTACCTCATGTCAGAGAAGGCTTCAGACTTTCAAAAACAGGTCCTTCTGCAAGCACCTTCCTCCTTCTGCCCTGTGCCTGGGGCTGGAGGGCAGTCTAGGGAGGGGGTCGTGCACTTGGTACAGGGCAAGGGCATCTCACAGCCCACCACAGAATGAGGACCGATGGTGCTGCCTATGCAGTTCGAGCAGCAACAAGTCGGTGAGCACAGAAGGCTATGCCCCAGGGGCCTCGTAAGCACTGATCACAGAGCACCAGCCGCCTCGACTTTGCTGCCTGCAGGCAATAGGAGCTCCTTGGGGGCTGCTCTTGCAGCGCTAAAGCTGTGCAAAGCAGCCAGGCAATCTGCACACGCAGAATGAAAGTGCTGAGACGCCTCCTTCCCCAGGGTAGCTGGCTGGGCTTGCGGCAGAGATGTACCCAGAGCCTCCTCCTGAGCTGAGCAGGGACACTTTTTGTCTTGTGCCACAGTGACCTCCCTCTGCAGGACTGCATTCTTCAGAGCCAGACAGGAGGCTGCTGCCGAGCAGCCCCAGCTGCCAGGAGCACAAGGCAGTAGCCAGGCACATCTCAGGCATTCAGTGCCTGAAGCATGACGGGGCTGCATTTGAACAGTAGATAAAGATGTATGTGTGCCATGAAGGCTTGGCTCTCGGCCTGAAAGTATATTCATTCGAATAAAGCCCATGTTCTCTGCTCGCCATAAATTATTTCTCTGCTACAGACTTTTAGTTCACTGCAGTATGTGGCTCGGCAAGCTTCCCGTATAATGAGTACGGCGTCCCTGACTGGGAGCAGCATGCCGTGATGGAAACACAGCACACTGCTCCAGAAACCCCATGTGTCTCGGAGAAAGAGCCATGCTCGGCCTGATTAAACCCCAGGTTTCCCAGGAATGCTCCAAAACTCAGCGAGATTATTACCACTCTAGGCTTTAGCACTCTCACCAGAGCAATGTTGATGTGCTGGCATTTCCAAAACAGGTCATGAGAGATGTTTTTCTTTGGAATGAACAAAGAATTTTGTTTTCCATTCTCTCTGGGCTCACAAACAGCTGAGCTGACAGTTCAAACTAAAAAGAAAAACAAACCAATTTCCAAGCAGAGACCATGTCTTGAGAATTTATATCCAATAAATAGATGTATCAAAAATATATCACTAAAAAGTTAGGAATGGGAATAGCAAAGAAGACTTTAATACAGGCAAAGGATAGTAGTAATTAATGCTCTCTGCAAGAAAGAGAATGGACCTCAAAATACTGAGAAATTGCACATTTCTCTCCTTTGATGTACCTGAATTAGCTACTTTTTACAAGACGTACCTAAGATATCCTTCTAAAAGGAGCCACGGTATGATAATATAAGGTGTTCAAAATAGTACCCCCCTGACTCTAGAATCAGTTAGCATAAAAATGGTGACGTTTATATATATGTATATGTTTTGTAAACACACACTTATATATACATGCACATATATGTATGTACATATTACACCTATGTTCTGGTGAGTGCCCAAGGGCTCAGCACCATCCTGGCGGGTTCCGGGATCCCGGAGCAGCCCGCCCGCGCAGGAGGTGGCGGCGGCGGCCGCTCCGGCGGGACCGAGCGGCCGGCAGGTGTCGCGCCCGTGCCGGTGCCCGTGCCGCCGGTGCCGGTGCCGGTATCCGTGCCCGTGCCGGTGCCCGTGCCGCCGGTGCCGGTGCCCATGTCCGTGTCCGTGTCCGTGTCCGTGTCCGTGTCCGTGTCCGTGTCCGTGTCCGCGCCCGGGCGGCCGCCGGTGCCCCGTTCGGGCTCGGCCCCTCATCCGCTTGCCCCTCACCTCCCTCCTCTGCCCCGCAGGACCCGCAGAGCCCCGAAGCGGAGCAGTTTCGCCTGGCGGCCGGACAGCTCCCGGAGGTGCCCTTCGGCCTCAGCAGCAGCGCCGCCGTGCTGTCCCACTACGGCGCCGCGGAGAACACGGTCTCGCTGTTCCGCACGGTGCGTGGGGCCGCACGAGCAGCTGCCTCCCGGGAACACCATGCCAGGGAAAAACCTTCATCTCCAACATAAGGGTCTGGTTCCGGGTCCCCCAGCGGGTTGGTGTGGGTGCGAGAGGGTCTTGGACGAGTGCATACAGCAGTAAAAAGCCTAAAACTAATCTCTCCTTAGGGCAAGCCAAAAGTAAGGTTGTCATTAGCAGTCAGGCTGCCTGATCGCCTCACAAAGTCCATCCCGCTTCTTGCCCCAAAGAGGGCTTTTGCTTTTCAGTTGCAGAGTGCCTGTCACTGAAACAGGGAGCGTTAATTACACCTGGTAAGATTCTCCTCTTTAGGTGTTTGCTCTACAGATCTGGTTCAGCACCCAGAGCCCTGTAAAGAGCAATGCCTGTGTTTCTACATGACCTGCCTGGAGCTTGGCATTAAGTTGGATGAGGTTTCTGTGGTTTTGGAAAGGGTCCTGAGACACATGAAAAGTGTCTAGAGTTCACGTCACAATGGATTAACACAGCCGGCTTGATGCCAAAACTTGGCAAGTGTCACTTCAAGCAGGCAAAGCTGTCTCCTAGGGTACAAAACTTTTCCCTCATGACAGAAGTCACATCCAGACTAGGTCTCTGCAGTTTAGAGCTACTGTACCAGCCTACACTGTGGTTTGCAGCCTCATTTCCTAAATATGCTTTAGGCATTAGAAATCTTGCTTGTGAGTTTCTTAGGGATGGATGCTGTGCTAGATCATATCTCTTTGATCTAAGCTCTAAGTGCAGGTAGCTCAATGTAGTCTCAATGTATCTATATGTGCTGAAATTTAAGGAGATGATGCTGGGAAGAGCCATGTATTTGCTGCAAAAGTACCAAGAAAAGCTAAGAGCAAGTATTCTACTAGTTACATCAATTTCCCCATGTTGCTCCTTCTTGCACAAGCATGGCAGTTGAAAACTGCAGAGGTAGGTGTGTCTGAAGAAGAGCAGGGCCCCAGGCAGCACAAGATGTCCTAAAAGCCAGTGATGTGTTGTGACACCAGACCTCTAAGTGCTTGAGGTGGGGAGAAATGGGTACACACCACATGTTCTAGGGAAACTAAATATGGCAGCTTGGCCAAGTTCTAGATCCAGCTTGTACAAAGATTGGACAGTTTGTTCTCTTTTTCCCCCCTCATCATTTCCTGCACCATGTTTACCACTGATATTGTCCAAATAATTAAAAAAGAATGATCTAAGAGTGAGCAATAGTTAGGCAGGTCCTTTTATTTAACCTTTTATTTGCTAGATGTTGCAATTTGAAGCAACACCCATTTCAATTTTGGTTCTTAGTCATTGTGGTTTTCTTCCAAAAATATTGAAAAGATCCTTTGTTTTTGCACTGTGGCAGATAGTGAGGATGACTGCACTGGGAGAGAGTTTGATAAAATAAATTGTTTGGATTGTTGGAATTTGTACTATATTGAATATTCTTTGTTTGGAGTCAAGTTTTTGCAACTGAACTCTTCTTTCATATGGAAAAAAACCAGCCAAGAATACATTAGTCAGGTTAAAATATGGTTGACAATTCACTTGTCTGATTGTCAGTTTTTCTTAAATTATCAGACACATTATTTTTTATTTTATCCTGTGCTGAATAATGTGTAGGAGTAAGAGGTCAGAGATAAAAAGGAATTTTAAAAGAACGGATACAGGAACTTGGAATCAAGTACTCATTTGAAGGATACAAAGATGCGTCACCAGGATAGAAGTGAATCAGAGGCATACATTAATTTTTTCTTTGCTTTTACAGTGTATGAAATACAATGCTTAGAAGTTTAAACCATAATTACAGTAGTAGGAGGGACTGTGTCAGCTGGTGAGACTTCTTTGTATATAGGGGAAAGAAACAAATTTACTCGAGTAAGAAATCCTGATATAACCTAAAAAGAACATAGTTAACAGATGCTAACAACCTAAATATATGGAGTGATAAAGACATTTTGAGTAGAGCTTCAACTATTAAATTCAGGCTATTTTCCAGCCTTATTTTCTTAAAAACATAAATGTTGAGTGCTGATTACAGATGTTATTATCCCCAAATGGAAGTCAGTGGTTTCCAGAAGCCCATGAAAGCCAAGAGAAGACTTTCTGTAGACTCCAGGCTGCTTTAGATTAGTTCTCAGGGTCTGTCTGATCTCACCCACCCAGGTGTTAGACTGTCCTGATCTTACTTACTTGAGCAGAGCTGCCCTTTCATCTTATGCAGGAGGAAAACCTGTGAGAGGAATCAGGCCACACAGTCTGAAAATCACCAGCTTGTGTTGTCAGACAGGGCGGGTGACTGGTATCAAACACCTTGCCAATGACCACAGAAGAGCAAAAATTACTTTAGATGTCTGCACACCATTGGAAAAACTAACACAAGAACTTTCAGAGGTTGTCCAGATGCAGAGAATAAAATCTGGGGTGTGCATGTGGACGGCTCCTCAGCCCCAAGAACCTCATTCAACATGTGTATCAATGGCTTTCAAATTCCAAACTTTGATCCTACTTCATGTCAGAGACCACTGCTCCCATGGCTTAACTCAGTCACATCCTGTGGTGGTACTGCACAGGAACTCTGCCCTTAAACTCTAGTGCATTGCTATCATTCAGTGCTTGCCTGCTTTTTTTCTGTTTATTAGGTCATGAAAATCTCAATAAAATCAGATCATTTTGAGGGGATGAAGTGTAGGGAGATGTGTGGCAGGATGAATTTTCCTCTAAGGCTGAAATATGCTTGGCTTAATTGTTTTTCTTTTTTTCCTTTTTTTCCCCTTTCCTGCTGTACTGGAAGAAAAATCCTCTTTTTATTGGAGAGATTTCCTGCTTGCACAATGTTTCCAGGAATTTCATACTGGGCAATGCCAATGTTTATTACTTGTAGAAGAAACAGAATAAACAGATGAAGATGTTTAAAAGGGATGTAAAGCCAGTATTGATGTGAGGAGTTAGACTATTTAATGACCTCTCTCCACAATGCCTAGAATAGTTTGTCAGCTAATTCTCACTGTCTCCAGTGCATCGAGAGCTGGTAGTGTAGGGATGTATGGAATCCTAAGAGATTTCTGTTATACCATGAGTTTGTCTTGTCCTTGGGAGGCTGGTAAAGGCTGGGAGATCCTTATCTCAAAGTGCAGGCTCGTTCCTGTAGGTTCTATAACTCCAGAAGTGGTGATGGGAAGAGGTGGGGATTGTGTAGTGGGGGGAGAGGGTGGTGGTGTCCCAGGAGTTGGGTGTCTCTGTGAGTGAGTGCAATCAATGCCTCTGGAGGAGGTGCTGAGAGGAGAGGACAGCTGTGACTGTAGGTGTCTTTGCCTGTCTTCAGGTAGACAGTGACCGGCGGGATCTGGATATGAACAACAGAGAGGTTGATGCCAAGGACCTGACTCGCTTTGTTCGGACAAATGAGCTCCGTCTGGTGACAGAGTACAACCCTGTGGTAATGACCAACTCCCTGCAGTCCTCACCCCTGTGCTTGGCCTTCTTCTCATGGAATCCTCTGGCCCCAGTTTGCATATCCAGATGTATGTGAGGGTCAGAGCAATGGTGTAGATGGGATTGAGGAAGCCATACAGCTCTTCACTGCTGCTCCACACTTGGACTGGAAGTAGATTTGCTGGGGCATAAGTATGGTGGGAGGAAGGGACTCATCACAGTTCCTTTGGCTTTCCATCATATTTGGGATGTTGAGGGACCAGAGAACTCAATTTCTTACTACTCTGCAGGCAGTGCTGCTTCCTCCCATGGACATTTGCCACGTTGTAGCATGCCTGCAGAGCCAGCTCAGCCAGAGTGCTCTGTCTTTGTCAAGCCTTGAGAAACATGGAAGCTCAAATGACCTGCTCTCAGAAGGCAGGATTTCTGTGTCTCTCAGCACATAGGGCTTGGTGTAAGCCCAGATATTTGAATGCATATTCAAGAGTGGGTTAGGAACTTCCCAAGTAAAATTGTTCCTCCATAATTCATGAGTTCACAACTACTACCACCAAAGCAAACAAACAAACAAAACCCCAAACAAACAAACCACACACAAAATCAGGCTTAGAATGCTTCCGTGTTAGCCATCTTCATCAGCTCACCCATCTGACTGGCAGTGGCAGGGCGCCAGCTTTCCTCTCTGCTGTAGAGGTTTACCAAGGATTTAGGTTCCTCTGAAATCTCAGCAGTTCCCTGGTCTCATTGCTGTGGAGTCAGGAGGTCTAAGAAGCCACAGTTCCTGCAAGGCTGAGACTGTAAAATTGCCGATGGGATATTTTGTGGCCTTCTGGATAGTTACAATAGTGCTGACAGGCTCAGTTTGTGTCGGAGAAGAATGGCCCAAAGTATTGCAGGGCTATACCTTTTCAAGATAAACTCAAGGATCATCTAAGAGAACCAATGCATTCAGTCAGTTCAGTTGCAACCCACCAGTAGGAGAGTATTTTGTTTTGAAATTTAAGATTTTTTCCCCACAGTGAAATATGGTAGGATTTTGTTTTTTTTTTTTTCTGTAACAACAAAAACGTTTTTGTTTTTTCATCTTCAAAAGGGAAAATTACATTTTGAAATCATAAAATATTTCTGGGGACTGCTATATCCTGCTCCACTGGCCTGACAGCCCTTTAAAAATACCCAAGTCACATCAGCAGGGATGATGTTCTCATCTTTGTAATTTCCCAGATCTTCTGAAACCTTGGAGCCCCTATTAGGTCCTTCTGCAATTCATGGGACAATGTCTCTTTCTTTAAGCATTTCTGTTGATGCTTTGGGTTCTCACTGCATGGTGTCCTGTTTGGCACCCAGGCTGTCTCCCTGACTGAGAATTCCCCAGCTCTTCAGCTGGTCCTCTCCACCCGGATTGTCAGTACAGATGTTATTACAGTTTTTTTTCCCAGACGCTCTGGAGCTCTATTGAGGTGCTGCAGTTAACAGTGCCTCCTGCAGTCTCTGGCCCAAAGCCCTCCCAGCTTCCCTAAGGTAGCTTGGTTTTTCATAAATATTTATTCCCAGTGCATATGCTGTTTGCATCCAAAAATGCTGCAGGTCAGCAGATAATGGGGTCACATGGCCCACACCAAGTGCTGCCAAGAGTTTCTCTCCCCATTCTGGGGCCCTTGCTGTTTCTCCCACATACTTTAGGAACTTTTAGGCAATGTTTACCCTGTGGGCTTTTCAGGAGAGTCAGATGTGATCCAGCCCTGCTGATTGCTCTTACACAAGGTTCTGTGGACAAGCACACCTTTGTGCGGAGCTGCTGGAGGAACCGCTGCTCCCGCCTTGTCCCTCTCACCCCAGCCTTGTCAAGGGGCTTGGTGCTGGCTGGCTTCGCCCCCACCTTCAGCCTCATTCTCTCCCATGAGGTCCTCTAACATTTTCCACCTTAGCTTGCAACCCCTCTACTGTCCCCCGCCTCAGCTGCACACCATCAGAAAAGTGAAGGGATACAAAATATCTGATAAACATTAAGCTAACAGCAGAGCTCCATCTGCCAAAAGCTAGATGCTCTGTTGTTATTCATGGTCCTTGCCAGCATGCACTCCCTGACCCTTCCTGGTTACTCCTGGGGCATGTGGAAACTTCTGCTCCCACTGGCGGGGAGCTGCACAGTCTGTGCCTCTGTGGTTTCGGTGGCACTAGGGAGGCAGCAGGTCTGGCCCCACTACTGTTTAATTTGAGGGAGAGGCTGCAGGCCTGCAGGAAGCAGACAGAAGAAGTGAGATGAGGAGTGAGTGAGTTCATGGAGATGGTGCTGTGGCTTCTTGGGCAGTGCCAGCTCTGATTCCTCACAGAGGGCCAGTGTGTAGTGCCCACCTGGCCCTTGCCCAGGGTCCTCTCTCGCTGTGGGACAGCAGAGACAATTTTAACCCTCAGCACTCAGGAGTGTCCAGGCCACCAGGTTGCTGAAACTGTGGACTCATCCCCATCATCCTGCATACAGTATAACACTAAATAAAGAAAACAAGGACAAACACCAACCTTGACACTACAAATCCTTCCCACTTTCTTGCTCATATTTCACATGGGTACTGGACCTCAGCGATTTAGGACACCCTTATATTCAGTGTTTGCTGGCCTTGCTCTTCACATCTTTCCTTTAGTCTTCAGCATCCTGTATTCTGCCCCACTCCTATTCCTCTTGCCTAGTCACTAACTATCTTAAGACCAGAGATGGACCTTTGTGGTCTTCAGACTCTTGTCTGGGAAATAAGCAAAGCCAGGAGTTTAAGAGCTTTTGCAAAGAACCCAGATTGGATCCCCCCTACTTTAAAGAAATCTGTCCTGCTTGTGATGCTGATTTGCAAAGAAACCACAGCTGAGCCCTGTGTACTTATGTCCCACTGACACTGCATCTAATGCCAACTGAGCACTCTCAACCTCCTTGCCCGTGTTTCTCTCTCTGTGCTGGGCAGACATCAATAGGTGTGATGCAGAGCTCCCTCCAGTTTAACCTCCTCCTGATCACAGACAAGATGTCTCCAAAGCACCCTGAGCGAATGCGCAAGTTTCGGGCGGCGGCAGAGCTCTACAAGGGGAAGGTAAGTCCCAACAAAGAAAAAGGGGCTGTTAGGGAGGAAAAAGCCCAGTGGTTTCTGCCATAATGGGGAGGGCATAATCTCCTCTGTGAATTATGAGAGCAAAGGTCAAGTAGCATGAAAAGAGGATTGTTTGGATAATTAAATGGATGAGTTGGTTCTGTTCACCTTTTGCCAGTTTGCCACTTCACGGGGAAATACCCTCTGTATAGTGCTCTCTGCTCTCCTGGTGAAACATCGTGTACTTTGTTGCTTTTAATCCAGTTTTGTTCCCCTGTACCGGGAGAGGACACACAGCTGCTGCTCTTCAGTCTGGCCACAGTTGCGTTCCACTGGTGTGAGAGGTGGATTTGTATCTACAGCCTGCAGGACGCCAAGGAGCCTTATATAAGTGACCAGAGAGCAAATAATGTCAGTGCTTCTTAACCCTTACACTTCTGGAAATGGTTATTTTAAAGGCACTGCAAACAGATTGCTTAGACTTCCTACACTAAGGTGATAAGATAGATGAGGTGTTTCAGAGACATTTTGCCTGAATCTCATCCCTCTGGGAATAGAGCTCCCCAAACAGTAAATCATCTGATGTCTGCTTCTCTGCCAGCAGCTGGATTACAGTGGAATTTGTGTCCAAGCAACAGAGGAATGAACTTGGAAGCAAAGGAGGACTGGGAGAAACAGGAAAGCATTTGTGGCAAGGGAGAAGAGTAGATGGGAGGGGGCAGAATATCACAGAAGTGGGGAAGGATGAGCTGAGAGGCATAAAGAGGTCATCCTCTATGAGAAGTGTGGAGCTGGAAAGATTTGGGATCTGATAACTAGAATATCTGTATACATCTGGTTTTGGTACTGAAGGAACAGATTATAAATCAAGTATACCCTCACCTTTGAATTCAGGGACCACCTCAGAACCATGCAATCTCAGAAGTCTTGAGACTTGCTTATGGCAGGACTACTTTACAGGAACCTTTACATCTTTCCTCACCATTGGCAAGAGACTAGGCAGAAACTATGCATCAAAATCAAAAGCAAACTCGTTTATCTGTAAAATTCCATTTATCTATTGTGAGATGCGTGTTAAAGTGACACCATTACCACTGTTCTCCATCTCCACCTGGCAGCTATTTCTTCCAACACAATGCTGTTCAGTATCACTAGCCTTTGCTGATGCAGCTGCATCTAGTTTTCATGTGACTTGCCTAGATCTGAATAAATAGCTATAATTTTCCTAGAAATACTTCACAAAACATTGGATAAAATGTTGTACTGAAGTTCAGACAATTTATGAATTCTCAGCAAGCCAAATCTAGTTTTTTCTTTTTTATTTGTGTAGGCAAGTTTCCAACCAAATCAGTCAACAAGTTTGCCAGAGTAAAATATAAACATTAAAGATGTGGGGATTTGACTAATTATTTCCACTTTACTGCTGTGGTACTTGAGGACACAGAGATGAAGTGACCTAGAGTCTAATAAGTTATTTTTCCTGATGGAGTGGCACTCTGAGGAGTAGACTGTGTTTTGGGCTGCCCTCCTACAAAGCAGCAGGAATCCCTCTGCTTGAATTTTAGGTCTGGATAGTAAGGAGTAAGCAGATTGACACGCCCACTTAGGTTTGTCCCCATTGCTCTGTCATATAGAAAGACCTGAATTAGTTTGGGTATCAGTGGCAGCCACTGCACAATGCCATGAAGATCTCTGCTAGCTAATTTTCCTTTGTGAAGCTATGTATTGTTGGAACTACCAAGTTAATTGAGGTTTGCTTCAAAATAAGTATTGATTAGATTTTACCTTTCAGTGGCTTGCAGATAGTCTGAGAAAAAAAGCAGATTTTGCAAAAATAGATGAAAGATTCTTGACTTGAATTTTGTTCAGGATTGCCACTGAATAATTCCTGTCCTGTTGGACAGTGATAAAACAGGTCAGTGCTACCAGTGGTTTGAGCAAGGAATCATTGCTGTGCAGCGGAGAGATGTTCAGACTCCCTGTGAACACGTACCAGTGCATCCAGCACGGCTCTACAGTGACTGCAGGGTGCCAGAACAGAGTGGGGATACTTGGTGTGTGTTGCAGTATTTCTACAAGCCAGTACAGAACACAGAGCCTTGAAAAGGATCCCAAGCAGGAGAAGGGGCATTGATCCTGTCACACATCTCTGTTGCATGCTGATGGAAGAGCAGTCCTTCAGTCCTTGTCATTGTCATCACCAGTGGGAGGGAAAAGAGAAACTTGTTGCTTGGACAGAGGGATGAAGAGAAACTGCTGCTGCTGCTGAGTGACTAACCCCAAAGAGTGAAGAAAAACATAGAATTGTGAAATAACTTAGATTGGAAAACACCTCTAAGATGTTTGAGTCCAACTGTTAAATGGACCATGAGGAAGTGATTCACCTCCCAGTTTCTGTATTATGGTCCTTTCACCTCTGTTTTATGGTATTTTCACTTCTGCCTGATGGGCAGCTGAAATTTTCAGCTGGAGGATCCATGGGGCAGGATGGTGAGGACTTTCATTTGAAAACAGTCTGAACTGCACCTTCAGGAAGACTGAGTGCCTGGAGGCAGTCTAGATTTTTCTAGATTTTATTGTGGAACCTAAGCATTGTAAAATGTTGGAGAGGAAAATGCAAATGGTAGATGATATTAAACCAGCAGAAGTTGATAACAATAAGAAGAAATATGGTAGTTTTCTAGCACACTTTGAGAAACTATTGTGGGTGGACAACAGTGAACAGAGTTCAAGCACTGCAGCTGCAGGAGTAAATCCACCAGCCTTCTTAGATCTTCAATCAAATATGTGCTTATTTGAGAAAGTACTGCCAAAAATCCAGGCAAGGAAAGAAAATGTACTGGAAAGGAGATGTCTGGGTTTGCATTGCTGAGCCAAACTAGAATACTTATATTCAGTTTTCTTTCCACAGTATCAGAATATAACGTGATAATTACAGCTGGTGTAACTCATGGGTGTTTGCAGAAGTCTCAACAAGGTGATGTTAGGAATAACAAAAGCAGCTTTTGTTGCAGCTGATATATTTGGTTTCCAATGTCAAAATTATTTGGGTAGTGATGTTTGTAAACTCCCTTTTAATTTAGATGTAGGTCCATTTAGAAATGCATTTTGAGAAACTCCTGGTGTCCTTCAGGAGTTCTTCCACAGAAATGAAAAGATTATGCCCTTTCTCTTACAGACAGTCGTTTGTACAATTTTTATTCTTCTTGTCAGACACTGATAGCTCCAGAACTCAGAGATAATATTTAGAGATGCCTCTTTTAGCCATAAACACAGAAGCCTGTAAATACGGGCTTTTTATCTCACTTAATAGATATCTTTATAGCTGTCTTTTTTTAAAAGTTAATGACTGATGTTTTGTTTTTGCTTTGATGAACTATGATGTAAGAAATTACTCAGACGTCAGAATTTGATCTTTTTGCTTACACAAAACAGTGAACTGCAGCTCTCTGAAGTTCAAAGTCAAACACTGGATATAAGGCTTGACCATCCTTTCTGTTTGTCTTTGTTGGAGGAAAAACTAAGCAATGGCAAATTAGTTTCTAACATTGCAGTGCTATTTTCAATTAACTTTAATTCCCTGGGCAATAATAGCATTCCATATCTTAGTATCTACCACAAACTTGATGTCCTTAAAGTACTGGGCTAGGGATCAAGTTGCCAAGACACCAAGACAGCACCAGCGTACAAAATTTATGAAAGGTGGTTTATTGCAAGTGACAGTGCACAGAAATTATCATGTGTGAACGGGACATTTTGTGTCAGGGGTTTCTCATTCATTCAGGATACCCTTCACTGTCTGAAGCAGCAGATGTCTGAACACAGGCAAGAAGATTGCTACAAAATTAAAAAAATTCATGGAAATAATCTCAGAATTTAAAACACCCAACCAGCTATTGTACAGGATGGTATGGAATGGGAAGTGAACTTTCTGTTTGGAATGGAACTGACTGATCTCTAGAAGTGGTATTGGAGTTGCCATTGTAAGTGGGATTTGTTTTTGGTGAATTGTAGCTTTGGTAAGTCATCTAAGTAAAGGTTTTGGGCTCTTTTCAGCACTAAAAGAGAAGGCCAGGCATATGCTTCCTTCCCTTCTAAAATAAGTGGAATAAAGTGCCTATCACTGTTTATTGTAGAGGTTATGTAGATGACTGGCTGAGACAAGACTAGGATCCGGATGGCAGAGGTTAGGCAATGTGAATTCTGCCTCATGGTCAATCTAATTTTCCATGGTTACTGAATTCAGTCTTTATGACTGGAGCTTACGGGGAATCTCAGAACAAAATAAATTCCTCATGAAATCCTCTAATTCCACAAGATGGCATCTGTCATGGAAATATGACAACTGAGAAACCTTCTTGGTTTTCAGCTGCTGTGGAGATCAGGCTTCCAACGCTTGGGGCCTCTTGGCCAACACATCTTACCTTCTGCCTCACAGGCATGACTTTGGTATCACACAGGCCCTGTGTGGTATCACACAGAGCACAGGACTCCTGGAGCACAACCAGCATTGGGAGCATGGTGGGCCCTTCTGCTGAAGGAGGACACATCCCATGTCACAGACCTCCCAGGAATGCACCATTCTCATAGGCATAAAGATGTCTTCTTCTGAGCTACAGTAGAGGTTTACCAAGGATTTAGGTTCCAAATTGCCAAATGCAATTCGTCTCTTTCCTGTACTTTTTGAATACAGGCAGAGAAGGAAACTTTGCTGTACTTTGGCACACTGCAGCTCTGTGAGCCACATGGGAGTCATTAGAGAGATCCAAGTCAGTAACTCTGAATGACAATGATATCTCAGCCTTTCTAGCTGAGGTGCCAGATTGTGTGGTTCTGTTTGTTCCTGTGAGGAAGAAGGCATTCGGAGTTCTAAACCTCAACCTTTTTACTCTTTTATTCTTACTCTATTCTTGGTATTCATGGATAAAATATGTACAGCTTTTTAGTTTTGGGTGTTTTGCAAAGTCTGGAGGCTTGATGAGGTGAAGAATATTGACTAATATTTATTCATATTACTAATTTAAAATTCTATTTATCTGTTTGGTGGAGATTTTGTATAGGAAGTGATGCAACAGTACTAGTTTTAATTACTTATTTTTTAACATTTGATTAAAAAATATTGTTGTCTAGTCAACCTCTTATAGAGAAACCCAAAAGTGTTGAATGCACCATGAAGACACACTACCATTTACAGTACTGACACTCTGAAAGTGCTTCCCTCCAACACTGGCCTCTGTCTCCACCTTTCTAGTTGAAAAGAGAGCCCTAAAACATTGCATACTGCTGTTCCATTTGAAAGCCTCTCAGATCATGCCCCTAGACCTGTGAACCTTAAATATGTGACCCTTTTCTGGCTTAGTGTTTTATCCTGCAAAAAGGTGAATTAAGTGCTCTGGGAGAAGTACCCCACCACCTGTCTGCTCACTAGCTTTTGCTCTTGGGGTACAGTTGACTTTTGGAAGAAAAATTACAAATGGTGAATATCACATATCCAGTGAAAGTGCTGTTCCTGTTTCTGTATTTCACTGTAAAACTGAAGTTAAACCTTACAGCAGCCTAATTATCCCTCCTTCCCAATAGGCTGTTGCCTAGGAAAGTTTTGTTTTTTATAGAACATAAATTCAATAAGTAAAGAATTTAGTATTTATGAAGTTTATTTTTAGAGAAGAAAACAAGTTTGGCACTAACTTCAGTGTTCTTCATGGAAAAGAAAGAAAAACATGAGTCACAGCGTGGGAATTGGGCACATAATCTTCACATTACATTGCTTTTTTTTTTTTTAAATTCTTCTTTTCTTGTGTGAGTGAAGCCATAGCCTTGTCCATAGGTACACTGAATATCCTAGGCCCACTAGATCACACAGGGTAAAAAGAAGATAAAATTACACATGCTAGCTGGGTGTTTTTTTCATTGACTTGGATCTCATCTACTGAGGGATTCTATTTAATCAGGTTTCAGATTAAATTGTTTAACTGCTATATTTATTTTCTTTTTAAAATTTTATAATAATCACTGAAGGTCATTCTCATCCTGGCTTATACATATTGAGCTTCTCTCCTCAGGTCTGAACGCTTCACTGAGCTGGGTTGTATGGACATTGGTGTCTTGCCAACAACTTCTGTTTCCCAAATCCTTGCACCCTCACTTCTGCTCACTTCAATATGTTCTTTGGTTTTGGTACTCTCATGTTCTTATCCTTGAAAGTTTCTGATGCCCTGTGCTTCATTCTCACATTTTTGCAATTGAATTTGATTCTTCCCACACCAAACCCCCTTTTTACTCAAGGATGTGAGCATCTTATCCAAATAACATGCAAGTAAAGGATTCAGCTTCTTTGACATTTGCTGTCAAGATAAAATACATCTTGTTTCCCTAACTATTAAGAGAATAGAAATGGAGACTGCCTTCCTGTCATTCTGTAGATATATTTTTAAAGAAGGTGAAAGAAGACGTTTTGTTTGGTAGTGTAAGTCTGGACTTGATAAAATAACAGACAAATGTACTGCATGGAGCTGCTAGATAGTTGCCAAGGAAAGGGTTGTCCTAACAGAGTATGGATGGTTTTCTCAAACTCTTTATAAAAATATCACTGTTAACCTTCGTATGATCACTGTTTGGGGATCTGTTCTCTGTCTCAGCTTCTTTTTTTCTCATGTTTTCTTTCCAATTTCCATCACAGATTCTCTTTATCCTGCTAGACAGCAATTTGAAGAGCAATGAACGAGTATTGTCATACTTCCAACTGAAGAAGTCCCAGCTGCCAGCTCTGGCTATATTCCACACACCAGATGATGAGCACGAAGTGTTGACTGTGGGTGACATCTCCACTGAGCGTGTACAGGACTTCTGTAATCGTTTCCTACAAAGAATGCCAAAGGTAAAGAGGGTCCTGATGTTGTTGTTTACCAGGCTCTTGAAGAAGATCACTTCAGTTCCTTGAACTCCTTCCTATCCCTGTTCCTTTCTCTTTCATGTACGTTTCCACCTGAATATCAGAGAAACATTAGATTTAGGGCAGAGCAGAGGTGGAAGCCTTTGCAGAGCCTCTTTCTTCATTGACTTCTGCCTTCTAGTCTACAGCAAGGAGAATTCACTGATCTCTGCAGTTGTATGAAGGTCTCAGTGAAGCATCTATCTTTTGGGAACAGCAGTTAGGGAGACAAATTGAAGGGTGCTTTTGGATGCTGAGAAGGGAGGTGGTGGATGGCAGCATATGAGAGCAGGTCAGAGAGACCAGTGGCATGGATAGGAATTACATCTATCAGGAAGACTACAGAACAGAGTGTACAGATAGGGCCTTAGGACTCCACCAGTGGTCTCTGCTGAGAGAGAAACAATTAAATCTTCATGTTTATACAGTGTTATTAGTTCTCTCTCTGTCAAAATGCATCCTCCTGTAGCACAGGGTCTTTGTGTTGTGTGACAGGAATGAGATAGGGCAGTGGCATAGATAGCAGAAGGAGGCTTTTGAGTTATTTTGTTTTCTTTATCCCTATGCTGAGAAACCAAGTAATGTCAAAACTGATTTCATGCCTCTAATGTGTTTTAGAAAGAAGACAAATCAGAGGAGAAGCCCCTCAATGAAGAACTCTGATTCTTTCTCAGCCAAAAAGATGAGTGCAGCCAGAGTCTGTTTCTGGTGTATGAAGAGTTCACTCTGCCCTACAGCTCAGCAATTCCTGAGCCAAATCAGTCATGGATTCCCATTACCATTCTATGTACATACATGCTGTATGTCCTCTCCAGGAATCTATTCACTCCTATCTCTTCTCATTTGTTGGCTCAAGAGCTCTTTTTTCAGTACTTCAGGATCTCTGGTATTGTCCTACAATATGTCTTTCTGTGCCATTGTTGGAACAAATGGTGGCACAGTGAAATGGCAATATCAGAAGTAAAGCTAGTAGTTCCAGGGATCTGTGTCCCTCATTCTTTTGGGTTTTGGTGCCATGCTGGGATCCACTGTCAGCCTTGCCTGATACTACAAACAAATTTGTTGCTTGATATCATGTGAAATTTTCCATTTATTTTACTAAATAAAGCAGTAAGTTAATGGCCTGAATTTTTATGCAAATGTTATTTCCCACTCCCCTTGTCTTTCACTTACGGACAAAGTCTTTATTTATGAGTGAATTAGCTCAAAAAACTTCCTTTCTCTGAGTTTAACCAATGCAATACCTAACCAGTCAGGTTCATTGCTAAGAATCATTCCTTATGGAAATGGACCCATCATCAATAGATATTTCCACCAGGATAGGAGATATCTGTGAAGATATCAGATATCAGAACAGCACTAGGTAAGCAGGTCTGAGATGGTGCAGCAAAAATGAATGAGCCTAAGATGTCGCAGTCAATAACCTTACCCAGGAGAGGCTGTTGTGGATCAGAGCAAGGCATGCTTTCACCATCTTTATGGCCAGGGAAGAGAACTGTCTGCACCAGATAACATTTTGAATGAGTGTGTATACAGGGGTAAAATATAAAAATATATTTCTGAATTATGCTGGATGTCCTTGTGGCTTTTGTGCATTGAAAAAAAGACTACAGAAGTACAGTATAGATGCTAAGAGCTGAAGGCTGTGCTCCAGAGAGAGGGGAAGGGTCTAAGGTGTCAGAATACCTTGCTGCTTTGCCCTGGGTATGGGCAGAGATTGTAGCACTGGACTGGAATGACTTGTGAATAAAGCAATTTTGGTGTTGATCTGTGTGAAGTTGTGAGCACAGGGATCAGCCCCTCTGAAACACTGGGGAGCCAGAGGGCCCCATCCTGGATGCTGTCACACTACAGCTTTGAGGATAAGAGATGGCTCACCTCCCACTGGCCCAGAACCCAGGCAGTGCAAACTCACACCTGCCTTCCAGAATCCTCGTGTCAGTGATGTGTGATGTTTTTGAACTCCTGGTTTTATGCCAGTCCTAGAATGTGCAGGGCTGTATCTCCTGCCAAGAGCCCTGCTCACTTTACCTCAGTTGGAAAACTGCTCCTTTTTACAGCAATATCTTGCTCCTCCCTATGAAGGGTTTATTCCTTTGTCTGCAGTACGGTAGAGAGGGAAGGCCTTCTGAGGAGACATATGTGAGGAGTCTTAGCACTGTAGGTGTTTCCAGTGCCATGCACTGATCTGTCTGTCTCTCTGTCATCCAGATCAAAGAGTGTGGGGGCCCTGACCTGCTGCACGAGTACCTGAAGTCTGTGTCTTGGCCAGCTGCAGAAATTAGGCACAGCGACGTGACTCTTTCTTAGTGCTGCAGGGAAACAAAATAGGACATGAATGAAGTCCTGGTTCTGAAAACAAGCCTGAGAGGAAAAGCAGTGTCCCCAGTGACTGTGCTCACTGTGTACATAGCTAATTATAGGGATAACTTTTCAGGAGCTGATGAACACAGGGGAGTTTAATTCCCTCTGCTCCTTACAGAGCTCTGCATCTAACCAACAAACTTGTGAACCTCAAGCAAGGCACAGGAAAATCCTCCTCCTCCTCCAGCTGTTCTGGAGTACTTTTCAGGACTTACACAGCACAGACAGCCCTGGGGTGCTGCACACAGGATGCCCTGTGCACAGATGTGGTGGCAGTAGAATCAGGGGGTCTGCCTTAATCCCTGTGCTCAAAGGCTTCTGCAGTGCACTTTTGGTGGGTTAGCCACTGCAATAGGGCATTTGAGGTAGTAACCAGAGGCAGAATCATGTGCATAGGTCAATCTCTAGTTTGTTTTATTCTTGGGTCTTGTGCCCTGTTATCATCTCTGACCTGAATTCGTGATGTATGTGGCCCAGATGTTTTGAGCTGTCTGGGGAGGCTGGTTTGGTTTGCAAATGGAGGAAATGCTAGATGTAAATTGACAGAGGGCAGGATGAAGGGGTTCCTTTTCACCTCAGCATTGCAGACATACTGTGGTATGAGAGCCCCTGCTCTGCAGCAGCATCTAAACTCAAAGGACATACAAAGTATCTAAGATGGAAGCTCAATTTGCCTAACGGGATAGCGAGGTTGCAGAGGTGTGTCAGAGCTGCTGTCTTTACCCCAGGGAACAGGGAATTCAGTTGTGTTGTGTAAGATGCAATTTCATATCCATCTTTGGTGAGAAAGGATTTGAACATCTCCAGAAGCAGAATGTTACAGAGACTTGGAGGTTCAGTGAGGGGACTAACATTATTTTATTTTATTTTATTGTGTGTGACATTAAACAATGAAGTGTTGCTTAGAGGTGAACTAATCCCCATCTGCTGCAGGTTGAACCAAGACTTTGTATATGAAAATCTGTGCCTCAGCTTTGTCACTTCAGTCCCACTGCACACAGAGTTATGGATCTGGCTGTGGGGGACTGCTGAGCTGCAGAGAATCTGACTGCAGAAGGACTGAAGAACCTTTGCCCCTACTCTGAAGAAAAGGAGCAGACACTGCATGTGAGTGCATGTGAGTCTGCCTTGTCAGCCTTGCTCCTGCCCTTGGCAGTGGCTGGGAGGTGCTGAGAGGCCTGTGACTGCCAGCACCAAGGGAAGAGACATCTCCCAGGCCATGCAGCCCAGAGGTCAACCACCAGCACAGCAAGGCAGGACTGAACTTCTTCCTTTCTTCTAGGGACCCTGCCAGCTTTGAATAATTTTTTTTTAAATCTCTCAGATATTTCCCAGGATAGCTGTCACAGGGTGAACTTTATGGCACCTAAGTTAGATCCCATCCCGTGCACAGAAGTCCAGCACTGAGCTGAGCCTGAGTTCCCAGGACAGGGAGGAAACAGTGATGATTTAGAACAACATATGGTACGAACAATTGTCCTCCTTATCATAAATGGATGAAGGGCATGGCTGTCTGACACCTCTGTTCACAGAATCACAGAATGGGTCTGGTAGAAGGGATCACAGTGGGTCATCTGGTCCAAGCTCCCTCCTCTATCATGGTCATCCCAGAGCACATGGCACAGGATTGTGTCTGGATGGTGTCACTGTCGAGGCAGGGCGGGAATGAATAGATTTGACTCAGAAGGTTTTGAGAGTAAAACTCCGGTTTATTCAAATGCACCGCTCTTTTATACAGAGCTTCGTGAGGACCAAATCCATTGGTTCTGAAGTAAAAGCAATCCACACCATTGGTGCAAAGTGCTTGACACACAGTGATAGAACTTAACTATAAACAATGTAAAAAACAAGAGAGATAAAGAATTATTTACATTCTTCTCCAGCTCTTTCCCAGGCTTTTTGCCTGGCTAGAAATTCTCAGTTTCTTTCTTTGACTGAATCTGAAACCCACAGGATGGTTCTTTAATATCTCCAGTGAGGGAGACTCCACAGAGCCTCTGGGCAACCTGCTCCAGTGCTCAGTCACCCACACCATAAAGAAAGTTCTTCCTTATATTCAGATGAAACTTCCTGTGCGTGATTTTCTGCCCATTGCCTCTTGTCCTGTTGCTTGTCACCACCAAGAAGAGCCTGAATCCATCCTCTTGATACACCCCTTTCAGATTACAAACATTGATGAGGTCCTCTTTCAGTCATCTCTTCTCAAGTCTGAACAGCCCCTGCTGCCTCGGCCTTTCCTCATAAGAGAAATGCTCCAGTCCCTTCATCATCTTTGTTGTCTTCCGCTGGACTCGCTCCAGGAACTCCATGTCTCTCTTGTGCTGAGGGACCAAAGGGAGTCCATCTGGAAGGAGGCTAAACCAACAAATCTGGGCAGCAATATTAGAAACACACTCTTTCTTGCTGGTGGACAGATCACAGAACTTAGTCACTCTTAATCACCTCCACACAGGATGGCTTCCTCTCAGTACCACAAATGGCAGCCCACGGGATGGCAAAGATGTGGGGACAGTTGACACAGGAGGAGGAAATATTGTCTGAAGGATACAACTGGGACAGTGGTTTGCAGGAGCATGAAAAAGGATGGCAAGGAAGAGCCAAAGGCTGTTTTGAGAGGAGAGGACTTGCCCAAGGAGTGATGTGGCCAGAAACAGGTAAGGATCAGTGAGGGAAGGTGCTGGCTGGATACCACAGAGAGCTGATAATGGTGGAGAAAGAACACAGAAGTGTTTTTTCTAAGGCTGTGAATCAAATACCTCTTTGATCCATTTTGGCTTAGTCACTAAGGAAACTTCAGAGGAATATTTTCAGTGGAAAAACATGCAAAACCACAAGATGCACATTGAATAAGAGTATACTTGTTCTCTCATTTGAATTTCTCCCTTCTCTGCTAAAGTATCTGCAAATTCAGACAGGCAGGCAGGCTAGTTGCATGATCTGTAAAGTAGTGATTTTGTCCAGGTTAGAGGAAAGGCCCACGGATAACTGCATCCCTGTCTGCACCAGGCCTCCACCTATGGCAGCTATGCAGAGCTGCCCCCTGCATCACAGCTGCAAACAGGGCTGTGCCCTCCTCCCCACACACTCACCAGGGCTCAAGCCGCTGGATATATATATATATATATATATGTATATATATATCTCCAATATCCATGGATTACAACAGGCCCTGGAGAACCCTTATACAGGTTGAAATTTCAGCTCCATCCAGTCTCCAGCATAAACACATGGGCTGTGTGAACACTCCAGGTTTCTCCCTATCCCTGTGTTACGAGTATAATATATTCTTTGTGTCTTCCACTGTCCTTTCTTCCTAGGCCAGAGCCCATATTTCATAATTTTATTAGGGATTAGGGTAATTCTATTCCATCCATATCGTGTGTTCAGTATGTCTCCATCACCAGCATTATTTCTTGCCTTTTGCCTAATAGATGAGGCATTTCGATCTGTAACTTTCCCAGTCCAGTTTAGTACAGCACATCATTACTTCCATAGGTGCCAGAAGACATAGCCTGGGTGCAGTCCAATTCTACTTCCTTTATTTGTGTGGGCAGCTGCAGACAAATGTCAAGTCCTTGGGTATTGTAATCAGCTGTTGGAAGAGCAGGATGGGAACTTGCAGTTTTCCCGTCTTTTGCTCTGTTAATTACTAGAAGGAATAGAATAATCAGCTCATGAAAAAATGTTCAACTGTTTTCTTCTCTACTAAAGGAGAGGGAGATAGAGGAAGAGAAGAAGAAGACTGTATGCCTGAAAGATTGTGT